TCTCTGTAGTAGACATCTGACCCGATTCCAGAACTTAGCCATTGTGAATGAGCAGCAGTGAGCACAGATGAGCAGGTGTCTCTGTAGTAGACATCTGATCCGATTCCAGAACTTAGCCGTTGTGAACAGAGCAGCAGTGAGCACAGATGAGCAGGTGTCTCTGTAGCAGTACGTAGTCCTTCCAGCATCTGCGCAGGGATAGCTGAGTCATGCGACAGATCTGGCTGTAGCTCTTGGAGGCCTGTGCACACTGATTTCCACAGTGTATCAGCCTGCCACCAGCACCATACCTTCTCATTTTGTTTGCCACCGTCAGTGAAGGCTTGACTGACGCTGTGTCAAAACTTTCTTTTAGTTCTAGGATTTGAGTTTTGTGGTCTTAAGTATTATTTATATGCTATAAATTATCCAGCTTATTTCTGGGCCAGACCTCTGTCCTGCTGTTGGTCTTGTCTCCTTAGTGGCCACCTCTACCTGACTTATTCCAGACCCAGGGAGGGAGGAAGGGAGGAGGGGAAAGCTGGGCCTGGCATGGGCTTTGAAACCTCACAGCCCGCCTCCAGCATCATACCTTCTCCAACAAGGACACACCTACTCCAAGGAGAGCACGTCTTCTACTCCTTCCTAGGATTCTAGCTAGGAACCAAGCATTCAGGTAGCTGAACCCATGTGGCCATTCATTCAAACCAGCACTCCAACGTTTCCTGGAGGTTGCTTCTTAAAGGGGTGTGGAGTTAGAGTGGATGACGGCTTTTGTTTGTCTCTGAGTTGTTAGTACTTCTGAGTTCCAGTGTTCTTGTGTGTTAGGGATAAAACTAACTTACTGTTGAGTTAGAGTGACAGAACCCAATAAAATTCAAATCTGGGCATCTCAACTCCTGTTCCAATGTTACTTTCATTACAGCTTTTAGCAAGGCAAGGAATATGCTTAGGTTTTTCTTTTTTATTTTTTCTTTAAGAATGAAATTGTCTTTATTATTTCTAGGGCTATATTTTGGTTGCTGTTCTCTTTGACTTGTTAGTATGCAAAGACAGAAGTTGTGGATATTGATTTTTTAATGTAAAAGCCAAACTACAGGAACTATTGAGTAGATTTCACTTGTTTAGAAGCGATTTCAGTTCCCCTTAACAGACTGCACTTTAAAGAAATCCACTGGCTGAACTGGCTCCCTGTACTCTGCTTCATTTCTTAGTTGTAGGAAAGGCTTGAGAGTCAGATGGTGTCTCGCAGCCGTGATGTAGGGTTAGTGGGATGAAGGCAGGAGGAACAGGAACTCAGCCTATGCTACACAGCAAGTGGCCACCAGCCTTAGCCACATGAAACCCTATTTCAAATCCCTACTCCAAAAGAAGGTTGAATGTTCCCATCTCTGGCCTGGTTCAAGTGCAGGAAGCATGGGGCATGCTTTGTAGCCTTCCAGGTACCGTTCAGCTTCGATCCTATGACTCAAGGAGGTGTTATGTTTTCAGCAGAGTACAGTTGAGAGGCTGTCTGGATCTTCTCTAAATGCTTTTTTCCAGCATCCCATTCCTCAGTCTTCAGCCAAGGCCCCCTCCCAAAAGAGAAGCACCAGGCAGGGTAGGAAAGGAGTAGTGAACACAGAGCTTGCTCCTGTGCATCCATCCATCCATCAGAGTCTGGGCTCTGGCCCCACGGCTCAGGCCTGAAGAAGGTTGCCTTCCCGAGTAATGACACCATAATCTTATAGCCAGGACGGCTAGAATTCCTCAGCTCTCCGGAATGCATCTTTTTCTGTCATTAAAAATTAACATGTGATTAAATAATTAAATATAATAATTTATTCTTTCCAGTGTGGAGTGCCGTCAGTTTTGACAAATGCATTTAATCTGTTACCCCTTTGTATCTGATTACTTCTATCCGCCCGCAGATTCTGACAGAGATCTTTCTATCCGTAGAGCTTCCAGAATGCTGCATGAATGATGTATGTTGTATTTCACTTTCAAGTCTGGCTCTCTCACATGGTTTCCAGCTGTTTTTGCATGCATCAACACCTCATATACTGCTGAGCACACTGTTGGATGGATATATTTCCATCTTTCAACATTTGAAAGCAGTCTGGCCGTTTCCAGTTAAAGCTATTATACGATTATGGATTATCTTCCATATAAATACTTGCTTAGAAGTCTGTGTATGAACATAGGTTTTCATTGCAGTGGGATAAATACTTTGATTCCCTGGGTTGTATTAGTAACACATTTAACTTTAATAAGAAAGTGCAGGCTAGGGTGTGATTCAGTGCTAGAGTGTGTGCCTAACATATGGGATTTTCTGGAGAGAGAGAGAGAGAGAGAGAGAATATTACCATCCTTCTTTTCCCTCCTGACATGACATTGGGACTACTTTGCATAGCCACCAGCGCTGTGTGCAGTTTTGGTCCTCCTCCTCCTGGCCTTGCGAGCTGCCTTCTCACTGTGCTGTCAGCCCCTCATCCAGCTCTATCTTGCAGTTTCTCTGTGATTTGTTTCTCCCAGGGTTAATTATTTGAGCATCTCTTTGATGCTGACGTGCCATCAGCCTGTTTTCTTTAATGCACTGACAAGCCAGACATTTGCCCATCTAAAACACTAGGGCCCTTTTTTTCTCATGAGTTTAGAGTTCTGGAAATATAGCATATTCTAACTTGGGACTTACCTTTTTATTAAT